ATTTTTAATTCCTGGGGTATGTACATTCATTATACTTATTAGTTTAAATTGGCTCAGTGTGCCGTGTCTTAAACACAGAACCTACTCAAGAGACCATTAAAGCTCCAGAGCCTTTAAACATCTACAAACAAACTATTACATTGATTATTATCTGTAGGGATTTATTATTAAGGTTTAGTCGCCAAATTAATTAAATTGGCTCCCTGGGTATACTACAGGTGTTAATGTGTCTTCTGCAAATAAATAGAAGGCAAAATGACGCATGTATCCACGGACTCAGGCCTGCAGGGAACATTACACTATTTTACATTCTGCAAAAAAAAACTCGGAGATCAGCCTCTTGAGAAAATCAACCTGACACAGGACTGTAGGGGCAGCGCAGTGGGGCTGCAACTAATACCTTTATTATTTATTAATTTATGCAGTTAATTTGTTAAGAAAATTAATTGACTTGGTTACTTCTTCAAGATTTCAGAATAAGATAAAGGAAAGTTGAAAATACACACCCTACAAGCTGTAAAAGTGCTGGTATTTTTTTATTTAACATTAATTTAAACATTAATAATAATAACTTTCTATCACTATATATTGATAACTAATAACGTATGCACTTGTGTAAAAGATACATAAGCTTGTCGTCTTAGTCACAGTACTGGTAGAGTAGGATTATTATCTGAAGATGCAGTACACATAGGGAATACCAATTTAGTAAGCTTTCAGTTATTTAGGTCAGCACACTCTCAGAGCGTACTTACTGAGGAGACAATGCCCCAAAACGTGAATCGCAATGCATCTGTGGAAGTTCTTTTTTTGCCAAACTATTTAATGAACATTTTAGCTAACCAACTACAGCTTATTTTCCTGTTGGCTATAGCCTAAGATTTCAAAGGTATAATCCTCGAGATATTGTTACTGTAGAATTGAAATTATAGAAAAAAGAGTTTTATTCAATCAGAAATAGAACGCTGCTTTTTTCAAACAGCGTTCTATTTGGTGTTTGCTTTTTTCAAACACCAAATTACAGACAGTAGTACTGTGATATGGTCTGGCTTCAGACCATATCACAGTACTGAGACTGCCCTCATCAAAATCACAAACTACCTCCTCATCGCATCTGATTCTGGCCTCATCAGCATTCTCATCCTCCTGGACCTCTCAGCAGCCTTCGATACCATATCCCATTCTATCCTCCTCAGCCGCCTGTCTGACTACCTTGGCCTCAGTGACACAGCTCTTGCCTGGTTCGAGTCCTACCTGTCTAACAGGAAAAACTTTGTCACCATCAGTGACTGCAGCTCCCCTCCCGCCCCAGTCAACCAAGGTGTACCTCAAGGCTCTGTGCTTGGACCCCTCCTATTCAATATCTACATGCTCCCACTTGGTCAAATCATCCGCCAACATGGTCTCAGCGTTCACTCTTATGCTGATGACACACAGCTCTATCTCTCCACCAAACCGTCCACTCAGCTCCCCCCTCAATCCCTTGTCAACTGCCTACAGGACAAAAAAAACTGGATGTCATCAAACCTGCTCAAAATCAACAGCAACAAAACAGAGCTCATGATTGTGGCTCCCAAGACGCAGCTCCAGAAGGTTGGAGACCTGCTTCTCTCCATTGACGGCTGCTCTATCTCCCCGTCCACTGAAGTCCGCAACCTGGGAGTCATCCTGGACACCACCCTCTCTTTCCAGGCGCACGTCAAATCTGTCACCAAATCCGCCTTCTACCACTTAAAAAAACATTGCCAGAATCCGGCCTTCTCTCTCTGACTCTGTGGCAGAAACCCTGGTACACGCCTTCATTACATCCCGTCTGGACTATTGCAATGGAGTCCTGTCCGGGGTTCCCAGCAAAACCCTGGATAGGCTCCAATACGTCCAGAACTCTGCCGCCAGGCTTCTCACCCACACCAAGCCATGGCACCATATCACCCCCACCCTCATCCACCTACATTGGCTGCCGGTCAAGTCCCGGATTCAATACAAAACACTCATCCTCACGTACAAGTCCCTCCATACCCTCGCCCCCCAGTACTTATCGGACCTCCTCCATCCCTACACCCCTTCTCGGAGTCTGCGGTCCTCAGACACGGGCCTGCTCTCCATCCCCCGCTCTCGCCTCCGAACTGTTGGTGACAGGGTATTCAGTGTTGCGGCCCCCACCCTCTGGAATGCACTTCCTGCCGAGATCCGTAATGCTGCCTCCCTGGACATCTTCAAATTATCACTAAAAACACACCTGTTCACCCTGGCCTTCGGGCCCTAGCCCTTTTCTGGTCTCCTGGCTTCCTTTATTTATTTATTTGGTTTGCCCGTTGATTGTCTGTTTGTTTTGTTTGTCCACCATGTACAGCGACCTTGGGTCCCTTGAAAGGCGCTATATAAATATCATTTATTATTATTATTATTATTAGTAATAATTTTAGTAAATAAAGTAGCACTCGTGTTGTCAGTCTTATTAGCAAAAGTATCAGAAATAGCAAGAGTAGTCGTAGTAGTGAACAAAAGTGACAGTGCTGTGAAGTATTTTTTTATCTCAAGTCTTCCTAAGTTGCCTGAATACTAACTTTAGTCAAGAGAACTTAAAGCAATCATCATGACAGCTTGACTTCCTTCTATTAGAAACAGGTCTGTCAACCCTGCAGCAGAGTGACCCGAGGGAATCGCACCTCAAAGCTACTCAACTGTAACTTCTCCTTTGCCCTCAGGAGAGACCTGAACAGTTCTTCTGAAACCAGGCTTTTCCCCAGGGGAAACAGTCATGCTTAAACATGTTATGATCAAACTGACTAATTGATCCTGTGAGGGTTCAGACCAAATTACAGACAGTAGCACAAATGTTTATCACAAAAATGATGCAGCTTATTGTTGTTCAAGTACTTTTGAGTTGTCCTTACACTACAGTAAGGAAACCTAAAAAGAAAGAAAATAAAACTTAACTGTAGTGTACATTGAAAGTTTGTGCTCATCTACTATATACCAGCAACAGAAAATTATCTTCCATCATAAAATCATCTGAAAACCAGATTGCTATTCCTTTAGGCAACTTAAAAAGCTGACAGCTCTCCAGCATTATAGAATGGCCCTCATCTACTGTCGAATATAGAGCAAATGCTTTGAATTAAAATCTGATGTTTACATTTTTTAAATAGAGGACCAACACAGCAAACGTGACATATTGCCAAGACTACAAACCTGACATTTAAAATGCATCACAATCTCCTTCAGGTTGTATCAAAGCTTAGAGGATACAGTAGGTTTGTGTACTTAAGTGTCTCTTGATTTTGTACTCACTCATATGTGCTTCGAGAGGGTCACAGGGTTAGATCCATTTCTCCATTCTGGTCCTAAAGACTCCCCAGCATGAGCCCACTGTAAGAAATGTACAATATGCATGCCTTTTAGGTCATCCAAAAGCAATGTGTTGTACAGTAAGTCAATACTCTGTTGTTAAAAGTTGCCCTAAATAATTAACGGTTAATACATTTTGGGCCACCACGAGGCAGCAATATATCATGAAAAATAGACGGATACTCAGTCACTATATTGTATAGCAACAGTTTATGGCTGATGTGTTCACATTACATTTGGCCACTTGCACATCCAACACACAAAGAGCAAATTCATTGATCAAATACAAACATTTATAGCTAAAAGGAAAAACACAAACCAAAGAGCATCACAACACCAGACTCAAGAGAATCTGCATTAGTTGACTACAGGTAGCAAAAGTATTCAGATTCTTTACTTGAATAAAGTACTAAAACGACACTGTCATTACTCAATTTCAAGTGAATGTACTGCAACCTGACTGCAACGCGAATAGTACTTAAGTAAAAGTACTTTGTAAATTGTCTTAAAGCAAAAGCAGCAACTCTTCACATTTAAGAAGCTGGAACTGTGAAATATTTTTGAACAAAAGACTTCAAAGCTAACCCTAAGTAAATAGTCAATACATATGTTAAATGAATGTAGGGGGGTCAAAAGTATAACATTTAGTAGAGTAGAAGTATAAAGTAGTACAATTCTCGGGTAAAGTACAAGTAGCCTACCTCAAATGTGTAATTAAGTACAGTACTTCAGTAAATGTACTTCGTTACTTTCCACCACTGGAGTTAACCATTAACCAACTATACCTGGCTAACTAGTTCACTAGCAGGTTAGCTAGTTCAGTTGCCATATTTGAATCTCCGTGTTGGTTTACAAAGAGATTTACCTTGCTAACTAACGTTTATTTAGCTACTGTAGCTTAGCGTTGAGCGTTTTCTCTTGGGAAGTTAACTCTAACCTAGCTATATTTGACCCCATTATTAGCCCCAATCATTGAAGCCTCTCGTTTGTCATAGTAAAAACTTAACGCAAAAAAATACTTCCTATGAACTCACCTCGGTCCCTCCCAGTATGTTCTCCGGTTGCCTGGTAACGTTAGCACTCCTATTTTTAGCTACTTGTTTCCAACTGACATTTTGCAGCCATTTTTGTAGTTTTCTAATTTGATCAGTGGTGGAAGAAGTAGTACTCAGACATTTTACTCATATAAAAATCCTGCATTCACCTTCTACTTAAATTAAAGTTCAGTTACTTTTAATTACTTGATATACTACTGCTAGATATTTTACCTACAACTTCAAAGCATATTTTATTTCTTGGTTAATTTATATTAAAGGAGGGATTGGTAATTTGGTAACACTATGGTAAGGGTACATAAATCATCATGAATTCATTATTATTATTATTCATTATTCATTATTATATATGAACCACTAAAATGTTTATTTTGGTGTTCTGTGTTTTAATGCCTACAACAACTGAATTATAGGTTGGGTTTCAGCTTTCTACATAACCCATAGATTGATAAAAGCGAAAAATACGTGAAACTTTACTGTACATTCAGCAACAGGTTGAATTATCAGGCCTAAAGTTACTTAAGACATTTCAAATTCCGAGTGTCTTTCCAAATCTAAACTGACCAGTGTTAATGTATATTTTATGGATAAAATATGTATTTTTGTCACAAATGTTTCAATACAGACGTGCAACCTTCACCAGAGAAAAATATATACTGGCAGTTGAAATGTGTACCATATGATGGGGTGCCATTCCAACTCGTGGGCACCAAGATATATGGATGCCACCAGGGAAAGGACAGGTGTACTTGGCCAAAGGAGAAGTACCATGCACAAAAAAAGAAACAAGCGGTATATTTAGGAATTGACATGCATTAACAACTTTAAATAATTGGTAAAGGAAAATTAAACAACTATTCGTAATATGACATGCATTATGGCCTTCTATGACACATAACACTGTGACACATAACAACATAGGAATCAGCATTATGTAAATACATAAGTTGTTTAAACTTTAGAGGAATAGGAAACAAAATTCAATGGCCTCTTCTGAGACAAAATAAAGGGGGATATCCTTCCTTTGTTCACCTACAGAACCCAACCAGCCCACGGTCATGACCTGGCACCAAATTCTTCCTGTTTACTTATATTAACAGGGGATGGTATATCTGCAAAAATAAATAGACACAAACAGTACAGATGCAGGAGTAATGACATAATGTCCCACTATACTACAGTTATATGAGCAGGACCTACACATATTTTAAAGAAGACAAAAGAAAGAACCATAGAAAAAATGATGTTCTCCACGTTATGGAGAGGAGACCATGAAAATGTCTACATAAATTAATATTGTATTTCTATACACCTTTTTTCTCTTAGCTTGAAGACCATGTCTTCAATGCAAGACGCCATCTTGTACAAAATATGAAGAAGATGGATTGCCCTGCCCAGATAACTGTCAGTCAGGTCATGACATTTCCTGGTTTCAAGGTACAGCACAAGCACAGCACAAGTGCGTTCAATGCTATAATTGCTCTCGTGTCATGATCCCAATTGCCATGTCATTTTTATGTTCCCCAGATTGCAGAGAACAGTAAAGCAAAGAGGAGGGAGCTCTCCGCAGCACTAAAGGCTGTAGTTGCAGCTGATCCTTCAACAGTTGAAGTAGTCATGGAATACCACACATGCTTCACCCCAGAAAGTGACCATCAAAACCATCCAACTGTTGGAGAGGTAACCATGCAACATCTATTCCTTTAGCTGCTGTAAGAAACAAGATGCGAGGTACAATTTGTGCTGTACAAAGAGGACTTTTTTTAGACAGCTTTAAACATCTATAATTACTCTGTTCAACGTCATGTACAGGTAGCTGAACTGCGTAAACCGATGGATTCCAGAGTTGAACAACAAATAGTGAAGCTCACCTTGGCTGGTGCCAGAAAGCTCAGTGAGATTAGACGTCACCTGTTCAATTTTGTAAATGACGAGCTATTCCGGGGGGAGCAGCCACCTCCACGAACACGTCGAAGGTTTTACCCCACAGACAAGGATATCAGGAATATCTTATCAAGAACGAAGGAGGGAATACGTGAATCCAAAAATGACCAGGTCAATCTGCAGGTAATACACTGAGAGTAGAATAGTATTAATATTATTCTAGCCATGCACATTTTTGTGGGTGGTTAATGCACAACTTACAGAGTTTGTGACTTCACCAAGCATGGTCAGTTTTTTACATGATACATTGTCCTCTGAATGCAGGTGTAAGTAAGCAAAGCAAAGTAGCAGTATTTGGTTCATATGCAGGGTATGACCATTTTTCAAAATGCAACTAAAACTTCAAAACTGTTTTTGCCCTGATATGACAACAAATGCTCCTAATGTTTGGGTTATGAGGCTACATGATGATAATGTCCAGTTACACTTTCATTCACAGCTTCTGACCCCCAGATGGTTAGTTGATGACTGCAAAATCAAGTACAGGCCAAGAGAGCTACAGGAGGACGGAACTGTCACAAAGCTGCTGTTTTGTTACCAGACAGCCTGGCAGCGAAGGCTTCTCCACCTGTATGGACAACAGCTGTGCCTGCTTGATGCTACTTACAGGACGTGTCGTTACTCTGTTCCCCTCTTCTTCCTATGTGTACGTACAAATGTGTGCTATGCAGTGGTTGGCCTCTTTGTGACCCAGAGTGAGACAACAGCAGATGTCAAAGAAGCCCTCCAGGTGTTTAAGGAGTGGACCCCTGACTGGAGACCTAGCCACTTCATGGTTGATTTATCAGAGGTAGAGATCGGTGCCCTGGAGGAAGAGTTTCAAGGTGAAATTGCAGTAACTGTAGAAATCTGTTAATTCACAGAATATGAAACGTTAATTAAAAAAAAGGATACATTTTACATAGTATTCCACCAGCTTCAAAAATATAATCATTTACATGCAAATGTATGCAACAATCTACTTCAAAATATAATGAAGTCATCACCTCCACTGACAGAGATGTATATTTTGTCGCGTATACTATGTAATAGCAACGCGACAAAATAAAATGACAACATGGTGCAGGTAATATATCTCTTATATTTTATCCAGGTTCGAAGGTGCTTCTCTGCGACTTCCATAGGGAGAAAGCTTGGGTTGAATGGTGCAGGAAGAAAGATCATGGAGTGAGCAACGCACAAGACAGTCTCCTACCGCTTCTGAGAAGCATGCTGCTTCAACTTCAGAGGAGTTCGGCTCACGCCTTTGCAAACTGCAGGAGGCCAAAGTCTGGAAAGACAATGACAAAGTGAGGGCGTGGTTTTCAAATAAGTGGCTCCCAGAGGCTAAGGTGTGTATCAAGTTGAAATATTATATTTACTTTTATATTATATTTATTATATAATGTGTTGAATATGAAGAGTCTTCCTTTTAATTTGTTTTGTCTTTTTTTGTCTTGTGTAGAGATGGGTGCACGTGTTTCGGGATGAAGATCTCAAGGTGGCCATCTACACCAACAATGGGGTGGAAAGACAAAATGAAACCCTAAAGTATTCTCATCTTGAAGGTTATAAGAACTGCAGCCTCAGTGAAATACTCACTGTGTTGGTAACTGACTTCCTACCAAGGACATATCGGAAGTGAGCTAAACAATTATTACTATGATTATACGTATATATATATATTTATATATACATACATACATACACACTGTTATGGAAATCTTAGACCCAGTCAATACAGTGGAGATACACAGGTTAGAATGATCAACAATAAATGGTGAAACAAACAGTTGTCTTTCTGGTTATTTATTGGAATATATTCAAAGACACAGGTCTCACAGAGTATAGAATAGTCTGCAGGAGTGTGCGCAATAGAGACAAAATAGCAAAGCTTATATACAGGAAAGGGCGGGAAGCTCAGAAATCTGCTTTCACACGGTCTCATATTGATATTAGACACCTGTCCTTGAGCTGTAGATAGTATAACGGTTCTCAGAATATGGAAGTTCTTGTGTGACTTTGTGTGAAGAGGAGTAGTCTCAACATAGTCTGCCAAATCAGCTCTGTGGCCTTGAAGCGTTTGGGAATAAAACCCCTCATTACAGTATGCAGAGAAAACAGCACATAATAGGAAAATGGCACGGTAGTGTTAGACAATGCTTTTAGAAGCATTTGGTTTTAGCATATAGGAGCATTTAAGAAATGTCCACTACATTCTCCCCTTTTGATCATACTTGATCAATCATAAAAAAAATAACAAATGACAGGATAGACTGATATAACACATCAATGAATACACTCCATCGCTGGCTTAAGTAAACACATCACAATTATATCATAGAAAACTGGCTGTTTTTGTGGAGGACAGACTCCAATATAATGTAAGCATAAGAGGAGGGTACACTCGATTCACATGGATTATATTGTAGTGTCGAAATCAGACTCTTCTGATTCTAGCTCACAAACAGGGGTACGGTGGAATGTACAAGGTATACGATTGTCGTAGCTGTGGCGCAAAGTAGTGGTGGAATAGCAACGAAAGCTGAGGATACCATGAAAGAAATTTCCACTACAACACACACACACTTTTGTATATATATATAAATGTAATGTTCGATAGCTTTGTTTCCAACATATTTGTTTGATGTTGTTCATTGTTGCATGTTTCTGAGACAATTGTATTATCAAATACCATATCTATATGTCAGAGAAAGCAAACTGTCACAGAGAGACTTCTAAGATATTGTTCTCTTCTCTTATTGAAGGTACATTGAACTGAACGTCAAGTACTCCTCAGTCTACAGAAGGTACAATGAGAACATGCCAAAGTTCTTAAAAGACAGACCAAGAAGTGTAGCAGACCATGTGATGTCAAGGCTTACAGAAGCCCAGTTTTATGAGGCGAATGACGTTGTTGCAAAGGGCAATGGCATGTTCCATGTCAAAAGCCAAAGTCATCCTTGCACACAGCACAACATCAACTTTGGTGAAAGTATCATCATGCCATCGTGCACCTGCAAAGACTGGGCAAAGCACAAGTTGCCCTGCAAGCACTTCTGTGCTGTTTTTAATCATGTGCATGAATGGGGTTGGGAGAAACTGGCATCTAATTACAGGGATAACCCCCTCTTCTCCCTGGATAATGCATGTCTGGGACAGACTTCCTGTGAGAGGGATGGCAGCGGCAGATCAAACATCACAGATCATACATATACACCGGTATCAGTGGAAATGCAGTCACCATGTAACGCTTTGCCCGAAAGGAAAAGACCAAGAAAGGTTAAACAAAGAAGGGAATATGAAGGGCCGTGTAGGCCAAAATTCAAACTCACCTCGCACACACACTACTGAAATACTCTCACATTCACTACTGAACACCTCACACACACACTACTGAAAACATCTCGCCTTGCACACACACTACTCAAATCCTCTCACATTCACTACTGAACACCTCACACACACACTACTGAAAACATCTGGCCTTGCACACACACTACTGAAATCCTCTCACATTCACTACTGAACACCTCACACACACACTACTGAAAATATCTGGCCTTGCACACATACTACTGAAATCCTCACACGCACACTACTGAAAACATCTGGCCTTGCACACATACTACTGAAATACTCTCACATTCACTACTGAACAACTCACACACACGCTACTGAAAATTAACGTCATACACACACTATTGAAATCCTCTCACATTCATTACTGAACACCTCACACACACACTACTGAAAATTAACCTCACACACACACTCCTGAAAAACATTTTACTGAAAGGTTCTCAGTAGGGAATGTGCATGTGTTTCACCTATGTGTGTGTGAGGGGATTCTTGCTGTAACGGAAGTCATTCTTGCTGTAACGGAAGTCATTCTAATGTAACGGAAGTCATCTGCTAGTGGTCTCTTTGCTAGCCCCGTTAGCTTCATTAGCTCCAGGCTGCTACTCGGACGTGTTTGTTGTGTTGATGCCTGGTGGAGTATTCTTCATTGAAATATCGCACTTATCTTATGGCTCTGCGGTTCAAATAGACCGTCCATGAATGCAGTTTATTCGGTAAGTGAAATTCAAGCACTTTATTTCTTACTTGTCTTTTTATTCAGCTAACAAGCGAGACGAAGCTACATCTGTGCTAGCGATGCTATCCGTAGCATACAAGTTAAAACATAATAGAGAAGTGTAAAACATTAAGAAGGATTATACTGTAAAACATAAGGCTTCTCGGTGAGGTTGGTAAAATAAGGTCATGCTTGTACATTAGTTAGTTTGCTAGTTAGGTAACTGCATTGTTATTGTTAATTTAAAATAGCTATGCTCGACGATGCAGACAGCTAGCGTCACATTAGTGTTGAAGAGCAGAGTATGAGATTAACCCATAGATTAACCTCACTATAAGATCTGTGTATCTGAAAAATACGAATCTCACATTTCCAGTTGGTTCCAGAAATAACGTTGACGTAGATATTGCAATATGGTTTGTTGAGCTGGAGTTGATTGTTGAAGCTTACTGGTTAACGTTCATCATATTAAACGAACGAACCCAAACGTTGTTGTTTTTATTAATATTATTACCAATACTTACTTAGCATTTTATTATCATTACACTGGAGAAACCGACTTATTGTGGCAGCAGAACGTGAACATGTAACTTAATGCCTGCATTTGAGGACGAAAAATAGCTCAGTCAATGCTTTAGGGACAAGGAAATGATTTGTTTAAATATTAGATATGACGTTATGTGTGCTTCTGTGACAATGAAGCTTATTCATTGCATTACATTTGTTGAAGATGTTTGTCTTTTACCCTTACGTGTGTGTGGGCTTTGATATCCAGCACTTTTTTTTAAGGATAACAAAAAGATGATCACATGACATTTGCATGTAAAAACAAGTCTGTGACCAACACATTGTTACTTTACATATACATCTGTTTGTTTAAAGTTTCCAGGTGATGCAGACAGACCAGAGGATGCTGACCACGAGAGACAGACCTATTCCTAACATCAGTGAACTTCAGCATGGACTCAAAGGTACAAAGACTCCTTTCATACTGTACAAAGAATCGAGAAACGTTCTGGTTTAAATAGATAAAGTAACAACTATAATCAGTTTTCACATTTCAATGTATTTAAGGCAATTATTATTTTACATTGTGAGAATTGCTACCATTTGTCTCTACATATTGTCTGTAAAAGACGTGGTAAAAGTGGTTCTTGCAGTGAGACAACAGAGCAGTTGAATATTATTTAATAAGATATTTTAATGTTGATTAACTGCAGACTGTTCATTCATAATCTGATTATCTTTGTAGTGCAAAGTGATGAATTAAAAAAACACATTAAAATAAAAAAAATACATTATTTCTACAGCCGCTAAATAAACAAACCTTTCATAAATAACACACTTGCTCTGCAATAATGTCATATGTTTCTTGTCATTTCTGTTAGGAAAAGACATACCTGAAGGACACAACTGCCTCACCGTTTTCTCAGAGGGGCAAGAAGAAAATGAAAAGCTGATTTCAGATTAAAGACCAATACAGGACATTCACTAAGAAACTACACTTTTATTGTGAACACAAAGTCAAACAGGACCATCATTTGTTTGTGACAGCTGAGCCCAGTATGTGCTCACAGATGCAGTTAGGGGGTTTCTTCATCAGGCCTGGTCCTCCTCCATCAGGCCTGGGCCTCCTCCCAGAGAAAGACCTCTCCACCTCAGTCCTCTCCAGCCAAACCCACAGACAGGACATCCGTCATGCTGAGGTTTCTCCCAAAGTCTCTGCACGCTGTCTCAATTGATCCACACTGTGAATATGAGGGGGAAATGTGTGTCATAAATGCTTTAGACAATAAGAAATATGAAGTTAACTGTAAGGAATGGCTCATTCTTTTTTAAATAGACCAAACTATTACTGTATTTCAATATCTCACGTCTGAAAGTTTAATTTAAAAGAAGAAGAGGCCCCAAAAATAAAGATTGGTATATCAATAAATGTAGTTGATTTTGTCTTTTTAATTGTTTAAAGTAGATAGAACTGGTACTTAAGAGTTTGAATACAGTCTGGTTGCGGAGGAGGCACACAGGTAAGAGCATATAGCTACCATCACATGTAACTAAGCTTGACTTGAATTTATTAAAATTAAGTAACAGCAACAAATCAATAACAAAAATCATGCAAAAATGTGAATCTTTGCTGGGTCCACTGTTGAATTGACCACATATTGTATGTTTTAGAAACCTTAAGGCATTTATAGATTTCTATGCAAGTAACATCCCAAAACTCAATACCTTAGATTATTATTGAAAGTTTTGTTGACTCACTTTGGGGTCCTTTTTATTTTAGAATCGTTTTTCATGAGACAGTCAATTTAAATATTTGTACTATGCCATATTCACATTCATTTGTAACACACACGTAAGGGTAAAAGACAAACAACTTCAACAAATGTAATGCAATGAATAAGCTTCATTGTCACAGAAGCACACATAACGTCATATCTAATATTTAAACAAATCATTTCCTTGTCCCTAAAGCATTGACTGAGCTATTTTTCGTCCTCAAATGCAGGCATTAAGTTACATGTTCACGTTCTGCTGCCACAATAAGTCGGTTTCTCCAGTGTAATGATAATAAAATGCTAAGTAAGTATTGGTAATAATATTAATAAAAACAACAACGTTTGGGTTCGTTCGTTTAATATGATGAACGTTAACCAGTAAGCTTCAACAATCAACTCCAGCTCAACAAACCATATTGCAATATCTACGTTAACGTTATTTCTGGAACCAACTGGAAATGTGAGATTCATATTTTTCAGATACACAGATCTTATAGTGAGGTTAATCTATGGGTTAATCTCATACTCTGCTCTTCAACACTAATGTGACGCTAGCTGTCTGCATCGTCGAGCATAGCTATTTTAAATTAACAATAACAATGCAGTTACCTAACTAGCAAACTAACTAATGTACAAGCATGACCTTATTTTACCAACCTCACCGAGAAGCCTTATGTTCTACAGTATAATCCTTCTTAATGTTTTACACTTCTCCATTATGTTTTAACTTGTATGCTACGGATAGCATCGCTAGCACAGATGTAGCTTCGTCTCGCTTGTTAGCTGAATAAAAAGACAAGTAAGAAATAAAGTGCTTGAATTTCACTTACCGAATAAACTGCATTCATGGACGGTCTGTTTGAACCGCAGAGCCATAAGATAAGTGCGATATTTCAATGAAGAATACTCCACCAGGCATCAACACAACAAACACGTCCGAGTAGCAGCCTGGAGCTAATGAAGCTAACGGGGCTAGCAAAGAAACCACTAGCAGATGACTTCCGTTACATTAGAATGACTTCCGTTACAGCAAGAATGACTTCCGTTACAGCAAGAATCCCCTCATACACACATAGGTGAAACACATGCACATTCCCTACTGAGAACCTTTCAGTAAAATGTTTTTCAGGAGTGTGTGTGTGAGGTTAATTTTCAGTAGTGTGTGTGTGAGGTGTTCAGTAATGAATGTGAGAGGATTTCAATAGTGTGTGTGTGAGGTTAATTTTCAGTATTGTGTGTGTGAGGTGTTCAGTAATGAATGTGAGAGGATTTCAATAGTGTGTGTGTGAGGTTAATTTTCAGTATTGTGTGTGTGAGGTGTTCAGTAGTGAATGTGAGAGGATTTTAGTAGTGTGTGTGTGAGGCTTAATTTTCAGTAGTGTGTGTGTGAGGTGTTCAGTAGTGAATGCGAGAGGATTTCAGTAGTGTGTGTGCAAGGCCAGATGTTTTCAGTAGTGTGTGCGTGAGGCTTAATTTTCAGTAGTGTGTGTGAGGTGTTCAGTAGTGAATGTGAGAGGATTTCAATAGTGTGTGTGTGAGGCATAATTTTCAGTAGTGTGTGTGTGAGGTGTTCAGTAGTGAATGTGAGAGGATTTTAGTAGTGTGTGTGTGAGGCTTAATTTTCAGTAGTGAATGCGAGAGGATTTCAGTAGTGTGTGTGCAAGGCCAGATGTTTTCAGTAGTGTGTGTGTGAGGCTTAATTTTCAGTAGTGTGTGTGAGGTGTTCAGTAGTGAATGTGAGAGGATTTCAATAGTGTGTGTGTGAGGCATAATTTTCAGTAGTGTGTGTGTGAGGTGTTCAGTAGTGAATGTGAGAGTATTTCAGTAGTGTGTGTGCAAGGCCAGATGTTTTCAGTAGTGTGTGTGTGAGGTGTTCAGTAGTGAATGTGACAGTATTTCAGTAGTGTGTGTGCAAGGCCAGATGTTTTCAGTAGTGTGTGTGCGAGGTGAGTTTGAATTTTGGCCTACACGGCCCCTCATAAGGGAATGTGCCAGTCTCTTGCGTGAGATTACTGACTTAACATACCATCTGCAAGATGAAGATTACCTTAAAACGTTAACTGACCAACTGACCGAGATCTTGGAAGATGTGAAGCTACACACTCCACATGATCAGAGCCTTCCTCTGACGTTCACACCTAAGAAAAGGAAGAAGGAGATGGCCAACCTACCTGTGAAAACCGTGCCACAAAAGCACCCATTCACAAAAAGGGTAGGCTGCTTTGCAGAAGCTATGAGGTTGAACTTCCGGGTCAGCATGAATTTGAAATTAACTTTGTAAAATATTTAACTGTACAGTTCGGCATTCATATCTTTATTATTATTAAATCACATATTGTTGTTATATATTGTACAATGTGCAATTTGACTTTTTATGTAAATATTGTTATTTTATTGCACATTTTAACTTTAACTTCTTATTTATCCATACATATTTGTATTCTATTTAATTGCAACTTGTATTGCAACTTTTTAATTTAACTCTGTAAGGTTACATTATCCTTTTAGTCTTTTTATTTATCTTGTGTTGCACATTGTTATTCTTACTTCCTATGTTAATGTACATCTTTTAATTGTATTTTATTATATCTTTGTTGTATTGCCCTCTTTTACTTTCACTTCTTATTTCAACATAAATATTGTTATTTAAAATCATATTGAACATTTCTGCTTTCATTTCTTGTTTGTTTTATATGTTTAAACTTTATATACATATGGTTATTTTATTTTGCATTGCCAATTTTTGATTTGACTTCCTATAGTTACATTCATCTTTTTATTATATTTTTATTATCTTGAAATTCACACTTTTACTTCTTGTGTATATATACATTTAGCTATGTATTAAGTATGTTATTTTGTTTGTTCTAAAATTGAGCAACTGTCACAAAACAACATTTCCTCCACAGGATAATGAAATGATTCTGATTTAACTTCCATGATGAAATACTGGTCAGATATCCACCAGATCTTTTAGTGATTTTTGTCTCTCTTGGAGAAATTAAATCGCAACATCCAATAGAAAAGTTCAAAACACAAATACACAACCGAAAATAATACATGTAATACTATAATATAAAGAGATGGACGAATTCATTTCAATAAACATGTGAAAACTAAATCATACAGGTTTTAAGGGGTTTATTTGTGTGAAGACGGCAGCAGCCAGTAAAGTAAAGGGCGTCGTCTCTTGTCCTCGGTGGCAGATTACGTCACTTCCGCCTAAAACCCAGGAGGTATACGATCTAGCACTAACCCACGAACAGGGGCTATCTTGAAACGTCCATCTTCTTCATATCTGAAGTCAGTGAGCTCTTGGTGGTTCAATCAGGGAAACATGAATGTCCTTCAGTCAACGACCGAGAGGTCCTTTCTTATGCCTGTTTCCAAACCAGTAAGTCCATTCTATAACTGCAAGATGTTCTTTCAAAAGTTTCTCAGTTTGGTTTCCCCTAAGCTGCCAAATTATTGATAGTTAATCATGATTACAACACTTTGAATTCAACAGAATACATGCAATGCTGTGACCGACAGACCGGGTCACCACTTTATTTGAAGGGGCACAAACATGATGAAGTAATGACAAAATAATGCTTTGTTAATCATGATTACAACACTTGGAATTGCTGTGACTGGTCAGCTTTTTGGCCTGTCACTTTAACTGCAGATCTATATGAAGAAGACATGAACATCATTAATAACTCAGAAGTCATGATGATTGAGATACCTTAGTAGTTGATGCATTAATTAAGGTATTGTTCCTGCATAAAGTCATGCACGAGATACTATTAATCCTTGTACATTACTGATAGTTCATGAAGTACTACATGAATGAATTCATGCTTTTTCATGCATTAAGTCATGCATGAATTCATGATGATTCATGTACCCTTACCATAAAGTGTTACCGGTAATTTTGGAGAAACCAGCTCGAGTGCACTAGAATTTGAAAATACACAGCCGGAAACAATTTGCCACTTCCTTACAGAGCCCCTCCTCCAACACACACGAACGCACACATGACCAATGAGTGCACGAGAAAAGTTTGTGCACAGATGACAGGCAGGTAGGCCATCCAGTTATTTTAGCTGGGCCGGCTAAAATGATTTTTACAGTACTACGGCTTCCACAGATGATATTTTTTTATGGATTTTTTGTCAAAGCACTTAGGATATTCATTGCTATAGAGTGGCGAAGTCTCTCCCCTTCCGGTGGACCTCCATGGGATCTTATTTTGGAAAAATCATGTATTGAAGTCAATGGAGAGAGAAAGATTATCTTTTGATCCCGTTTGAATTGTGCAACAAATTACACATATGATGTTTGTCAATTTAAAAGATAATTTTGCAAGTAAAAAAAAAAAAGATGTGTCGATCGAAAGATAATCTTTCTCTCCCCATTGACTTCAATGCATAATTTTTCAGAAATAAGGTCCCATGGGGCGGAAGTAGATGGCCGTGACTTCGCCACTCTATCGGGATGTTAAGAGCATTCCATGGAATATAACAAAAAGTGTATCTCGAGCCGGTTTCTCAAACTTACCTACTGTTGTGTCCCGTCAATTATGTTAAGTTTTGTCATGTTAGTTTAGTTTATGTTCCACCTCCTGTTTTAGTTTGTACTCACCTTGTCTCATTCCAGGTCCCTTTACTTCCTGCTCTGGTTCCTTTTCCCGCCATCATCAGTGTCTGCCCCGCCCCTGATTGTTTCCACCTGTGCCCACTTACCTCATGTATATATTGTCCTGTCTCCCCTTGTTAGTTGTCGGTTCGTCTTGTTCATTGCTCCAAGAAGTAAAATCTAAGCCATTGTTTAATGAAAGTCAGTGTTTTGCCTTTTACCCTCCACGAGAGCGCTTTACGTTTGTCAGTTTGTTCATTCCTCTAAAAGAGTGATTTTGTTTTTTGCAAGTAAAGACTATTTTTTTCTTCAAAACCTTTTTGTCTCTGGGTCGTGCATTTGAGTCCTCCAAGCTATTGAGTCAAGGTTCCTAACAGAACGAACCGACCAATATGGACTCAGCCGACCCCAAGACGCTCCAGACTGCCCTGTCTGCACAGGGAAACATCATATATCAGCACCAGGAGCAGCTAAAAACCATTAGCCATAGAGTGAAAGACCTTTCAGATCGCCAGGAGGATCTCCAAACCTCTGTCACTCGCAGGTGAACCAGCTGGCAGAACAGCTCCACAGAGTCCTCACTCATCTAGAGACAACTTCTACAGCTCCGATTTCTGCTACGCCACCTGATGCTAATCCTGCTGCTAATCAGGCCGAGGTCAGTTTCTCTCCTGTCCCACTGCGGTTGGCATCGCCAGAGAAATATTCAGGTGAATCTGGCAACTGCAGAACCTTCCTAGTCCAGTGTGACCTGCACTACAAACTTAACCAAGCCGCGTTTGTGTCAGATGAGGCTAAAATAGCATTTATGGTCTCCCATTTAACTGACAGAGCTGCCGCATGGGCCACTGCGGAGTGGTCAAGAGACTCCAGTATATGTGGATCTTTCACAGCATTCAAAGACACTATGAGCAGGATTTTTGATCTTACCTCACCTGCCGCTGAGGCCACCCGTGTACTCATGCAGCTCAAACAGCACCAACGGCCAGTGTTAGATTATGCCATAGAGTTCTGTACCATAGCCATAGACAGTGGCTGGAACACCCCAGCATTAATAGAAGCCTTCCGGAATGGACTCTCTGAAACCATCAAAGACCACCTGGCTCCACTAGAACTACCACAAGACCTGGAATCACTGATTTCTATGTCTATCCGAGTTGATAACCGCCTCAGAGAATGAGAGAGAGAACGGCGCCGAAATGCAACAAGACATCAAGCCACCAGGGGCGCTCTCTGGATAAGCAGCCTTCATGGGATCCCTTGTTTCACTCTTCATCAGGCCCAGCAGGAACAGCGCCATCACAGGCACCGGAGGAGCCAATGCAGCTCGGGAGACCAAGGATTTCTCCAGAGGAAAGACGGCGCCGCCTGCAGGAGGGATGCTGCTTTTACTGTGGCCAATCGGGTCACCAGCAGGCAACATGCCCGGGAAAAGGGCATGCTCACCAACCATGAGGAGGGCGTTGGTGAGCAAGATTTCCTCTAACTATCCTCCTCGCACACTCACCCAGGTTAAAGTCACAGCTAACAGTCAGACACATACTCTGGGGGCAGTAGCGTGGCGTGGGGGAAAAATTAGGGGAAGCCAATAATACGTCCTTTCTTTTGGGTCGGGGGTGTGGTGGTCAATGTAATAACGTAACCAGATGAGTGATTACAGCACCCAGTATCATTTTACACACATTTTTATCAGATGCAGGACTTACACACACACTCTCCAACCCAAACTCTAATAAGCATTCATTCACAAACTAAATCAGGAGACCTTTAACGTTTTACGTTCGATTCGCTCCTTTGTTCCTCACTGTACTGTACACAGCTCCAGTTTGGGCATTGGCCTGTCATCAGATTGTATTTGTTGTTCGTGCTGTAGCGGAAGTTTAGTACAATTATTTTTGATGAAATACTCCAAATCTCCACCCTCCATAATTTCGGTTGGTTGATACTTTCTAACGGCGGGGAGAGTGGTGCAGTGACTCTATCTATCTTCTATCGATTCGATTTATGATTCGAAAATTATAAAAGTAGGGTAAACATGTGGATATTATCCGACTGAACAAAACGTGCATTTATCTAACAGGTTCGTTTTCCACTGACCTTATTTCGAGCTATTTTCCTAAATCCTATGGAGAAATCCCATTCCTTTTTTGTCGAGGGAAACCGAGCGCAGCTTACTTCCAGACTTTAGGACGCGTCACGGCAACACTAAGTTGATGCGATTTGATTGGATTGTGAGGCAAGGGAAGCCAGCCGCCTCTGGCTTCCCTTGGCATGGCCCTGACCAATCACAGGTTGGCAGGGGCATCACGTGAGTCTCATCTGATTGGTCAATCCCTCCATTTTTTTTCACCACAGGAAGCCAGATTCGGCTGGCCTCCTCTCGCAACAGTGAGTGCAATCTACTGTTTCACCATAACATCTACAGGGGCGCTGTTTGTTTCACTCTATGTAAAATACTCAATGAGAATGGGGGAGAGACGGGCCGGCAGCAACACACAGCAAAGGAGAATTATCGAAACAAAACAAAGTGTTTTATTTATTTATTTAAATTATAACTACAATCCGAAAAAACAGGGGAAGCCTGGCTTCCCTTGGCCTCCGGGACAAAACGCCACTGTCTGGGGGCGCTAATTGACTCTGGGGCTGATGAAAGCCTCAGCCTAGATGGGGTTTAGCTAAACACCTTAATATTAAGACTGTCCCTCTCAAGCATCCTGTCAATGCCAGCGCCCTAGATGGCAAACTAATGTGTAAAGTAACTGATTGTACGGAACCCATTCAAGTAACCATTGATAATAATCATGTAGAAATAATGCAGTTTCATCTATTCAATTCAGCACAACATCCACTGATTTTGGGGTTTCCTTGGCTAAAGACACATAACCCACAGATTGATTGGGGTTCAGGACAAATTAAGGGATGGGGAGGGAATTGTGAACAGTCCTGTAGAATCCCACAAACTGTTGCAGTTTCGGTTAGAAGCTCAGATTTTCCTGACCTTTTGTTAGTTTTGCTGATATAGGCTTAGTTTGTCGGGGGACATCTTACTTCTTCCTTCTCTCTGTCTATACCTGTGTACTCATGTTCCGATTAACCCAGCTTCCCCAAATGTCTTTCTTTTTGGTGTCTATATACGCCGGGATCCGGAGTCATGGATGATCCTGCGCTCCTCTGTCCTGGATCGCGAGCCCTGGATCTTGAGTCGTGGCTGTGGTCCTGGATCATAGGTCCTGGATGGATATCCTCGTGGATTCATCTTCCTATTATACACACATGCATTTCCAAACATTTGGACTACCTATGTTGCAAATGTATTATCTTTTCAATTTACACACGGCATCTATTGCACGTCTGTCCGTCCTGGGAGAGGGATCCCCCCTCTGTTGCTCTCCCTGAGGTTTCTCCCATTTTTCCCTTTAAACTGTGGGTTTTCTTCGGAAGTTTTTCCTTGTACGATGTGAGGGTCTAAGGACAGAGGGTGTCGTATTGTCATACTGATATTTTGTACAAACTGTAAAGTCCACTGAGACAAATGTAACATTTGTGATATTGGGCTATATAAATAAACATTGATTGATTGTTAGAGTTTATTGAAGGATAAATGTGTTTTCATAATGTATTCTCATAAATGTGTTACAAGAAGCAGAATGGAGGAACAGTCTGTTCAGTGCCACACATACACACACACAGATTCACATGACTGAGTCACAAGATTCACACTAACAAATAAGGCGTTGGTCAACACCACATGATTGTCATGTTACTGTATTGTTGAAATAAAAAGAATGCACTGAGAGAAGGCGAGTAGAGTTGGTTAAGGAGTGGACATTGCATGTCACTCGCCGATTCTCCTTGCAGCAAGTAAACTTGAAACTCGAGTACTGTTATCTCTGTTCACTGGGTTTGGTATATTTAAACCGAGCTGGGGTTTTACCCTTACAAAGTAATATAGATACCTCACATTAATTGGTCCTTCGGAGCCGGATTCCAACACATCGTGACGGGAAGGAGGAGGGAAAAGACACGCCGCAGTCTGTCGACAGCCGGGATCATCAGCCGACCCCGAGAAAGACCCGGGACGCAGAATTCGTGGCCGGGCCGGTGCTTATATGTCCAACCTCCCTCATCCTAGGCACGATTGACGGAATCCAACCGGACCAGTGACCACAGATAACGGGTAAGATAAAACGTTGATATACACGGTTACTCCGCCATTAAGGAGGTTGATATACACGGTTACTCCGCCATTAAGGAGGTTGATAAAACGTTGATATACACGGTTACTCCGCCATTAAGGAGGTTGATAAAACGTTGATAGAGAAAGGCTACTCCGCCTAGAAGGAGGATCGACGTGCCTTTGGGTACACTTATGAGTGATTGAGTGAAAGCGGTGTGTAAAAGTGTCACCAGTGGAATCAGCGCACAGAGTGGAAACCTAACGGTGATAACACAAACTCTGTGGTCTGTTGAAGTACACGTAGTGGTGAATTAGGAATTAGGTTCCGACCGGCACGTTGTCCAGTAGGAACACCAAGCTAGAATCATGGGGTCCAATGGGAGTAAGCCTGTCGCTACAGGGGACATGAGATATATGGAAATATATAGTCACGGCAGCACCATTTATTGTAGCAAATGGTATAAACAGTACGGCTTCCAAGGAAAGCTGGAGAAAACAGCAGTAAGAGAATTTAGCGACAAATTGAGAGCAGCAACAGCTGAAACAAAGCCTAATGAATGGGTTCCACCCAGGTATTGCTGACTTTATCCGCAAGCATAATGTTAACCATAGGACATGCGACTTACAAGAGTGCCTAAATTATGCAGAACATGCAGCAACCCAGATCAAAGAAAAAAGACATAAGAAAGCGTCAGCATCGGCTTTCTTCATAGGAGAAGAAGGGGAAGAAAATCAGATTTTCTTTGTGGGACCAGGACAGGGGAGAGGCGGGTTTAACAGAGGACGAGGGAATGGTAGAGGAACAGGCAGAGGCAGAGGAGGAGGCAGAAACGCAGAAGGCAAATTCCTCTGCTACAGGTGCGGAAAGGAGGGGCACATGGCGAGAGACTGTGAGGAACAGAGACCACAGAACAAAGAAGGGGGACAAAAGGGACAGTACAAAGACGAGAGACATGGCCCCCCCCCTTCACATAACCTACATAGTTATGACAACTGACTAGACGTAGAAAAGGAAGAAGAGGACGTCCACACACGTCCACACACATCACATTGACCTTTCTGAAGTATTACTGAATCTGTCAGACAACAGTATTAAACCTACCAGGACAATCGAAATCAATGGGGAAAAATTAGAATTCTTATGTGACAGCGGTGCAGACTCATCAGTAGTGAACAAAGAGGTCCAAAGAATATGGCCACCAACTGGCACTATGTTTGTAAAATCAGCAAATGGACACATAAATCAGAGGTCGATTTCAAAGCCACTTTTTATGGAAGATAGAAGGTCAGGCCTCCAGGCATCCCTCAAATTTGTGTTCATCTCAAACTGCCCTGTCAATTTGCTAGGGAGAGACGGCATGGAAATGTTAGAAATCAGTATAGTACCAGTCAAAGGGGGAATGCGAGCAGCTGTGGGCGAATATGGGTTTCATATCCTCTTACAGAAGGGGGAAAGTGTTTCACAACCGATACCTCTTGTGATATTAAGGGATATGCAGAACAGCGCACCCGACAGAGAAAAGAAGAAATGGTTGACAGATGGTGCAACCACAGACCCTGAGGGAACATTCAGAATAAACAACAAGATAGTACTCCCTGTTAGTCTCTACAAAACAGCAGCTCATTTGAGTCATGGGCCGTGCCATGTCTCAACAGGAGGGATGGTGACAATAATAAATGAACACTTCCATACATACAACTACATTACATTTTCTAAAAACTTTTGTAGAGCCTGTGTAGTATGTTGCAGACACAATGCTCAAGGCAATGAGCGACCACAGAGAGGAAAGTTCCCTCCACCAACATACCCATTTCAACACATGCATATGGACTTCATCGAACTAACACCATGCCAAGGGTACAAATACTGTTTGGTAATGATATGTCCGTTTTCAAAGTGGGTTGAAATATTCCCAGCAAAACATGCAGACGCTATTACCGTAGCAAAAGCCATATGCAAGACAATAATACCAAACAGAGGTATTCCAGAGAAACTGTACAGT